TCTAGAAGGACAATTCTTTCAGTGAAGACCAAATAGCAGGAACACTCATGGAGTTAAGTATTATGACATGGGGCTGGGGGGAAGAGTTTTTTCATCACAACGATTCCACAGTACCTCCCAATAAATTAAAGAGAAGAGGTACTGCATGACTGCATCCAGTAGCCATTGAAGTCTGTGCCATTCTGTTCAGAGTAGTAAGGCTTATCTGCAATACAAGTTTGGCAACGGTAGTTCTCCCCCTTCTGGTCCATGAAGTTGAAGTGCCACTACAGAATTTAGAGAGTTACCTGTAGAAGTTGTCACTGCAAAGGTATCATTCCTAGTGAAAAGGCAGAGACAAGACAAATAGGTTCCACATTAACCTTTCCACCTAACTAAAATTTTGAAGCCAATGACAAGTGGCACAATTTGCATTTCAGATGTTGGAACTTCAGTCTCCACTTCAGCGCAGAGGAATTATATTTAAATAGTTCCTTGTAGATCCTACAACAGTCATTGAAGGCCACCTACATCCATCTTATTTTCTATTGTGCTGAAATTCTAAATGTTAAGTACCACAAGGAAGAGGTTTTCCTACTGCTCTGAATAGTGCATAGTTTCCTAGAACTTTAGAAAGAATCAGAATTTTCACTTTAAATCTAGCCAACTGTTCAAGCCACTAATTATTTACTTATAATTTAATGTGTAGCAGAAACAGTAAGGAGACCCAGAACTCCAAAATTAAACTTGATAGGTATTGAAGCATACTAAAGCTTCTAAAGCAATGAGTGTCTCCAAGCTTCCAGGATAACAAGACTCCTGATTTCTAAAGTCTTACCTGTTAGAAACAGCCACCTTTCTTAGGCATTAAAACCTATTTAATAGGGTGAAGCATAAGAAAAGGATATTTTTGCCAAAAGGTAAAATGATTCAGATGTATTCACTTTAAACAACAGAATTTTTGGTCACAACAGGATGGTAAAGATGAAAAGTAAACCCACCATGTACCATACTTCATGATGTACTCAAAAGCCTTCACTCTCACTAAGAAGTACATCCGAAAAAGCCTTTTAAAAATTTGACCTAGAAGTGTTCAGTAGATGAGGAGAAAGTCTTGCTAAGAAGGTTGTCTTCCTCTATATGCCACTAAGAACAGAAGAGTTGCTTGCAAAATGGAGCAGTACGAGCTCATAAGCCCCATTAAGTCTCCTGTAGAATGTGAGGTGGCCCACAGCAAAACCCAGAAGATAATTAGAAGACGAGATTAAGTTAAAAAAACAAAATGACAATATCTGTAAAAGGAAAATTGGCTTCATCCTGGCTCAAACCAGAACAGTATCTGACACATAACTGACATAAAATGTCATTACTTTTCTTTGTCAAGAAAAACCCTACTGTAGCTGTGCCATTCTGTTCAGAGTAGTAAGGCTTATCTGCAATACAAGTTTGGCAACGGTAGTTCTCCCCCTTCTGGTCCATGAAGTTGAAGTGCCACTACAGAATTTAGAGAGTTACCTGTAGAAGTTGTCACTGCAAAGGTATCATTCCTAGTGAAAAGGCAGAGACAAGACAAATGGGTTCCACATTAACCTTTCCACCTAACTAAAATTTTGAAGCCAATGACAAGTGGCACAATTTGCATTTCAGATGTTGGAACTTCAGTCTCCACTTCAGCGCAGAGGAATTATATTTAAATAGTTCCTTGTAGATCCTACAACAGTCATTGAAGGCCACCTACATCCATCTTATTTTCTATTGTGCTGAAATTCTAAATGTTAAGTACCACAAGGAAGAGGTTTTCCTACTGCTCTGAATAGTGCATAGTTTCCTAGAACTTTAGAAAGAATCAGAATTTTCACTTTAAATCTAGCCAACTGTTCAAGCCACTAATTATTTACTTATAATTTAATGTGTAGCAGAAACAGTAAGGAGACCCAGAACTCCAAAATTAAACTTGATAGGTATTGAAGCATACTAAAGCTTCTAAAGCAATGAGTGTCTCCAAGCTTCCAGGATAACAAGACTCCTGATTTCTAAAGTCTTACCTGTTAGAAACAGCCACCTTTCTTAGGCATTAAAACCTATTTAATAGGGTGAAGCATAAGAAAAGGATATTTTTGCCAAAAGGTAAAATGATTCAGATGTATTCACTTTAAACAACAGAATTTTTGGTCACAACAGGATGGTAAAGATGAAAAGTAAACCCACCATGTACCATACTTCATGATGTACTCAAAAGCCTTCACTCTCACTAAGCAGTACATCCTAAAAAGCCTTTGAAAAATTTGACCTAGAAGTGTTCAGTAGATGAGGAGAAAGTCTTGCTAAGAAGGTTGTCTTCCTCTATATGCCACTAAGAACAGAAGACTTGCAAAATGGAGCAGTACGAGCTCATAAGCCCCATTAAGTCTCCTGTAGAATGTGAGGTGGCCCCACAGCAAAACCCAGAAGATAATTAGAAGATGAGATTAAGTTAAAAAAAACAAAATTACAATCTCTGTAAAAGGAAAACTGGCTTCATCCTGGCTCAAACCAGAACAATATCTGACACATAACTGACATAAAATGTCATTACTTTTCTTTGTCAAGAAAAACCCTACTGTAGCTCCACAACAGCAGGTTTTGACAGCAAAGGTGACCGTGAGAACTTCCTGGTCCACCTTTCACTTGGATGTGCTGTTCCACAGCTGTCAGCACCACCCAGGGGCTCTCTGCAGGGACATACTATGAGGCACATCACTGAAACAATGAAGGTTCAAAGCCCATTCACCCATTCACAGGTGGGGAATGAAAGAGATGGGAGCTTAAAACAAACAAATACGTTACAACTCAACATCACAATGAATTACCTGCCAGTGCAGCCCAGACAATGACATCAAACCAACAGCGTGCATGTCAGGGAAAGGATGAATTCAAGGGTCAAGATCTTGAGACACCAGTTAGCTCATTCAGAACAAAGACAGAAAAACAACTTCTCAAACCAAAATAATTATGCAGTTACAAAAAGCAGAAGTTTGTTTATATAAAAGCACATGAGACAAGAAGCTAATCCCTGTGGAGGTCCCTGGGCAGCTGTTAGTAACTGCAAAGTGCTGCTCTCAGTTGTGTTACTCAAGGCAGCTTCACAAAATCACAGAATAGTTTGGGTTTGAAGGGGCCTTAAAAATCAACCAGTTCCAACACCCCTGCATGAGCAGGGACACCTCCCACTAGACCAGGTTGCTCCAAGCCCCATCCAACCTGCCCTTGAACACTTCTAGGGATGGGACAGTCACAGCTTCCCTGGACAACAATGGTGGCTGTCTCACCACCCTGATAGTGAAGAATCTATTCCTAATATCTCATCTACTATCTCCCCTCTTCCTATTTCAAAGCATTATCCCTTACCATCTCACCACATGCCCTCATAAAAAGTCCCTTCCCCAGCTTTCCTGGAGCCCCTTCAGGCACTGGAAGGTGCTCAAAGGTCTCCCTGGAGCCTTCTCTTCTTTAGACTGAACACTTCCAACTCTCTCAGCCTGTCTGCAGAGCAGAGCTGCTCCAGCCCATGGATCACCTTCAATACCCTTCTCTGGACTCTCTCCAGGAACTTTCTGTCCTCTTTATGTTGGGGGATCTCTAGGTGAGGTCTCATAAGAGCTGAGTAGAGGGGGACAATCTCCCTCCACCTGGCCCTGCTGGTCATGCTGCTTTTGATGCAGCCAGGACACAGTTGGTTTTTGGGCTGCAAAGCATAATACACACAAGGTGGCACTTCCTAACATGTTTAGAGAAAAAAATCTTCCTCTAGTTAAATAAACCTTATGTCGTTGCATTAAAATTACAGAAGTATTTGGGGAACAGAACTACATGTAGTAGAAGTATTTTAAGCTACACTTATCTTGTTAGAAACAGGCAGTAGCACCTCAAATGAAATAATATTTGGTGGATGCATCAGGAAAAGCAGCCATGAAGCAAGGAAGGCTAGATGTATTCTACTGTAGTGAGATGCAGCTCAGTGAACATCTTGCAAGACTTTGAAATTCTTCATGAAACTGAGTATTAACAAAAGATCAAATGCAAAGAAAAAAACACCAGGGAATTCAGCAGAGAGAAAGCTGGATTTTAGAAACAAGACTCCATCAGAAGACAAAAGCAGTGACAGCTTCTACAGAGCCACAGTACAAAGAGAACCCAGCCCACAAGAACCATGTTCAGATGGGGGATCAACAGCAGCACTGCAGCTCACAACCAGACCTACATGGCTACTGATGTTATGCAAGACATGAAGAACAAAGTGCTTCATAGAGAATGGGACAGTGAAGAAGTTGTCAATGTAATTTTGAAGACTGCAAAGCAGTCATAACTTAAAAATTAATTAACTGCCTTTTCCCTAACCATTATGGTTTTATCCCTTTCCATTACTCACCAGTTTTGTGAGGATCTTTTTCAAGTACAGCTGCATTTTTTAAATACTAGGACTCCTTTTCCCCACAGGTCCAGCAATGAGAACCATAAATACTGCATAAACTGGTACTAGATTTCCAGCTAAGTAGACTCTAAGTCAGATCAAGAAATGTAAAGACTAAGTAAGAAACAGCAAACAACTGGAGTTATCCAGATTGTTGCCTGAATACAAAAAAGGACAGAAGCCTTCAAACAGTACTATTTAGATTTTTGTCAAGCAAGGGAAAAAAATTAAATATATCAGAAACTCAGAGAACTGTAGTTTTGAAAAAAGAACAGAGGTTTAATACTTAAGTGAGTTGTTACAAAGCAGTAAGAGAAGTTGTGTAGATGGTTCATTACAGAACGCCCTCTGTATTTCTAGATTAGGGAATTAAGTCTTCAGTTTCATCTTCCCTAAAATATAATGTTTACACATATTATGCTGCTTCTCCAAAAAGCAGTATGCTGCTATGGAGTCCTAAAGAGACTC